TAACAAGAAGCCTGCCATGGCCATACAGTTTGTAAGCAATATAAGTCTCTGTGTGTTTACTCGGTTTGGTCTGAGTGGCTGTGGGACTGGCAGGTGAGAGAGATTTGTTCTGACTGTGGACCAGGCAGGACTGGAGAAAACTCCAGCTACAACATGTGTCCTGTACTGCCACCCAGGTTCAGTCTCTGCCTCTCCTCAACCCCTTGTGATCATCATTGCTCTTGTTTCCTCCATGGGAAGGTTTGGCTTCCGACTCTTCAGTGCTAAGATGCTCCTGAGTACCTACATAGACTCTCCACTGTTTTTAATTTGGTTCCCGAAGGGTCCTCCCATCGGGCCCTTGACCTTATGCATTTACAGTCCTTTGTTCGTTTGAGGTGATATAACCCCTCCCCGACTTCTGTTCAAACAAACAACACTACCAGCAGAGTCATTTGGTGATCGAAGTTTTAATGCATGTATTATTCTTCCTAATAGATGTCTATGAAAGTAACTGGTCAATATAACTTAATTAGTCATATATATGTTTATCTGGTCTTTCAACTTAACAATTTAATATTTGGGGAGGCTGTATATCAACAGCTAATTGATCCAAATTTTGAAACAAGTTTAGTGTTTATATGTTTTTAATTTGAATTCAATTCAAGACAGGATGAACTTTTTGTTACACTGTATAGATGGGCAAATGGTTCAAGTATAACAATGTCATTTTCTTAAACGATATTTGTTTGATTGATAAAATAGTTCAAGGTGTATGCAGATATTCACTAGGACTCTTATGTTTAGTAGCATGAGAACACAATTTGGGTACATTTTAAATTATAATTGTTTCTTTTGTACATGGATTATAGATAGACAAATTGACACAGAGGGATCACTCTCTTTTCTTCCAACTAGACTAAGTCATATTATATAGTTATTATAGAAACTACCATTTTGTAACTCACTTAATCTATTCTAGGACAATATAAACTATGTTAATGCAGATGCTTGGAAAGAATATTGTTTTGTTTCTGCATGAAAAGGAGGTAGACAGAGGCATCCACTAAGATTTAAATGGTTTCATGTTACCATAGACGCTACAATTGAAAGTCATTAAGGGCTTTGTAGTAATAAATTTTCATTGATAGATGCTGTGAGGAAAACATTAGCAAGGTCTTTGGATGAGTTACTTGTTTTGTGGAGGGAAGGGGTGGGAAGAGGGTATAGAAGAGGAGAAATAGTCTCACTCCAAAGACTGCCTACAGCTCATTGAAAATATCTGGTTCAGATATAAGTCACAGACTTATTGTATCAAAAGCAATTGAATATAGTGCCCACAGTGCTAGATGTGGAAGTGATGCCATTTTGCTTTTAAGGCCATGAAGCTCATTTCAACTCATTTGCCTTTCCCACCTTTGAATTCACATGGAATTCTTGAGAACTCTTTAGGAATATGATTAATGATGGATTAGTCAAACATCTATAAATACAATAAATATCATAAAGTCAATGTAACAAACTGAAGGAAATAATTTTTATAAAATAAACTCTTGGGAGAGGCTAAGGTTTAGAGAAGCGATGTGGCAGTGTGGTAGTCCTCATTTTGATACCAATGGACTGAAAGATGGGAGGATGTGACCAAATTCTGCCATGGAGCCAAACCTTGAGAATCTAGACCAGCTTTCCTTGGGAACTAGTTCTTCTCCTCCCCTCCTCCCTCCTCCCCTCCTCCCCTCTTCCTCCTATAATAAGAGAGTAGCTTGAGAGAAGAAAGGTTTGCTCAAGTTTGATGCCAAAGCACTCATGAGAAAGCTTTTTGGGATTTTCTTTGTATCAGCTTATTTCATTAATTTCCATTCTTATTCTCGCTTGTCACCTTAATCCTCACTTGCCCAGGCTAGAGAAGCTGATGAAATCTTGGGCTACCACTCCAGAAGAACACTTATGTGGTGGCACACGTGTGGAATTTCAAATCTAGCTTCCAGAGGTTGGCTGAGCATTGAGCCCAAGTGTGGCTCCTCGGGTTTCCGTTTCCTGAGCTGTGGATTGGAGGCTCCACCTGAAGCTCCTCTCACCCCACGTTCCAGCCCCACAGTTTCTTTCTACCAACACCTATGGCTGTCTTAGGAGTCTGTCCACGCATGCGCAGTGCCCAGTTCTTCATCCAGCAGGAAGCCGAACTTGAACCATTTTCCCCACGAGCTTCAGGAATCCTGGCAAGTGGCGCCATGTGGCCACAGTGGTAACCTGCTCACTAGCACACCTAACAACTGACTTCTTTCCCTTGCCCTACTCCCATAGTGTCTAAAACGCTTCTTAGGATTAGCTCTTAAGCCATCTACTTGCAATCAAATCCCAATCTTAGCGTCTACTTTTATGAGGAAAAGAAAGCTTTTGCAAGACATGACAATAAATCACCTCAAGACTTTGTGGTTTAAAACACGGATTTTATTGTGCACCTGAACTGTGTTGGTGGAACTGTGTTGGTTGGGAATGAAAAAAAAATAGAGAATAGAAAGTTATTTGGTAACTTCCAAGATTGTTGTTGTAGCTATAAATCTATTGAGAACCAACATGTCAAATAAAATTTTTGCTAATCTAAAGTACACTGGTATAATGGGTTATTTAAATTAAAAATCCAGTGAGTATTTTCAAGAACAATACAGTGGATTTTCATGTACACGATTTCCTTGAAGCTGTTTGTACATGTAATTGCATTTTTGAGCATCTGTTATAATTTAGTACCTTAATAAATATGAGTCTTGTCTTGAATTCTAAGTTTAAGTTAGGCTATAAATATAACACATTATAATTTGATGGATAAGAGATAACATATATGTATTCAGCAGAGAATTGCTTTCTCTTTTGAGAAGAAAGTAAAGTCTTGAGTCATAATGACATATAGTACTTCAGCTGAAACAGAATCTGAAAGCTTTTACTTCAAGCTCCTAACCTTTTTGGAAACCCACCATTTTACGAGCTGCATATGCACACTTATGCACAACTAGATTCATATGTACCCCTACACAAGGGGTAATTTTTCTCCTAGAAGCCATAGGTTGCCAAATTAAAAGCTCAGTGCCAGGTGTGGGGTGCTTCCCTCTAGTTGTTGGTCAAGAGCATCCTGGAGACTCCAAAACATCACAACCCATCACCATGGCTCTTGATTACTCAGCAGAAAATGATGGCAGGAACCCACGGTTGGGGAGCTCACAGCCTCGGGGGTAAACCACCACTAGTATTTTGTCAAGTGAACATAGTGTAAAACTGCCCTGGGAATTTGTATTTCTCTACCCACAGATTAGTGCAGCTCGCAGACCTCATCAGAGAGTTTCTTTGTGCAGGGGTGGTGGTTAACATAGAAACTTGCAGCTGGTCAAAGCGCAGAGGAAAGGTGTCTGTAGAGGGCTCGGCCATCAATGTATTACATCTGTATTATATTCCCTCTCCCTAAGACTTGGGGACCGTTGAGGAAAATGGGGTAAAAAGATTGTAAGAGCCAGAGTTCAGAGGGTATGATGGGACCTCCTGCATGTGACAGGGCCACTACCCTTATGAACTCACAGTAGCTGTGGTTGCTTGCAATAAGACCTGCACACAGTTAGTCAGCCAACTTTTCAACATGGAGTGGGGAGGGTCTTACAAGCTCTCACCATTAGCTGAGGGGCTATGGACAGTTGATGGTTTCTGGGAAAGGGGGAGTGGGCTTTTTTTTTTAGTGTTGTGGCCTCTGATAGGTTGATCATGTTCCTTGAGTATATGGGGAGCACAAATTGGACTCAGTAGGTTATTTTTAAAAAGAAAAGAAAAACAACCGGAGAACATGAAGTGGAGAAGGGTTGGGGAAATGAGGGATGTACAGAGGAGGAGTTAAGGTGAGGAGTAGGAGTGAATATAACCAAAATGCATAGTATGCATGCCTGTAATCCTCAAAGAATTAATCCAATATTGTATTTAGAAGGACTAAGAGTCTGTGCTTACTTCTTGGCAGCCCAGAGGTCAGACTCAAGGGTTTGTGCATGCTATTAAGTACTATAAACAGATAAAGTATGTATACTTAGCATATGCAATTATGTAGGAAAGTATTTATAAATATGCATATACCTGGAGTGACATAAATATATATTTGCTTGGCCAGATGAGATAATATAAATGAAATGCCTTGGTGTCTAATACTGTTCTCAGTAAACATAATTAAGGTTCCCTGCAGAAATGGCTGACTCTCCAAGTGTGATGAGAACTATCCCAAGTAAGTCTGGAGCATTCTGGGACATTGTATAATGTCAGAATGTAATGACACTGGAGCAAGAGGAGGGGAGGGAGGAAAGGAGATACATACATATAGACAGACAGACAGAGATGATACAGACACACAGAGAGACAAAGACACACAGAGACACAGAGACAGAGATGAGACAGAGAGACAGAGGAAGAGAGGGAGAGGGACAGAGAGAGAAACAGACAGACAGATGAGACAGACACAGAGAGACAGAGATGAGACAGAGACACAGAGAGACAGAGGAAGAGAGGGACAGAAAGAGAGAGAGAGACAGACAGACAGACAGACAGACAGACTCTGATGGTATACATTAAAGGAGCATTGGAGCCAACTGACAAAGTATCTGGAGGCTGAAGTTGTAATATGACAATAGAATCCATATAGTAGGAGATTCCGACCCAAAGTGTAAAATAAATATTCATGTGTTCATACTCATAAACAAATGATCAAATAAAGTAACACATGGAGAAGAATGGCTAAATCTGCCCCACAGAAGCATTTCAAACAAATTTTGTGGATTTTCAGCCCCCAAGAAGAGAAATACATAGGATACAAGTAATCTATTTCCAAAATGCACAGTGTGAAAAGCAGGAAAGAGCAACATCACTGTAGGAAAACCTTACTAACTCTACCTGGGCTGAGGGTAGGTCCTGGCCAATCAAGATGTTTAGTAATAGCAAGAACCCTTGGTTTCATGTGATAGTGCCCTCATAAGTCTCTGGTCTTTCTCCTGTTAAAGCCTCACTCCAGCCTTATGATGAGAAGAAAACACCAGGCGAGTTTTCACTGTTGGATAAGTACTCAGTACCTGCCTGGAAGTACTCAAGTCTCAAGTCATCACAAGCAAGGAAAGACTGACGAGACCAGGCCCAAGAGGAGGCTGAGGTAACCAGACGCAGATGGTTACGAGATGCAGTATCACACCCAGATACAGCATGGCACCCAGCGCTGTGTACTGGAGTAGAAGAGAAGACAGCAGGGAAAATTAACGTCCAGATTAACTATGGGCTTAGGTAATGATTATCTACCAATATTGGTCTATTAACTATGACACGTATCATAAAATAATGAGATAATTGGTGGACTTATCTCCTATGGTATATTCTTGGTAGACTCAATATTAGGCTATGTTTTCACCAAGCCAAAAATCCTTGATGAAAAGTGGAATAATAAAATGTTGCATACTTCTTAAAGGATGCAATGACAAAAATATTACAAATGTTTACATGAATGAGCTTTCCTGCTTTGATTAGCCTGTTGGCATCGTAGACTTGTAGATAGTAGGCACATGAGAAAATTTCCCTCTCCAAGCATATCTTCCTCTTTAAATATATTCCCCTCTCTTCTCACTCTGGTATCTACAGACTTCTAAAAAAATTATTTGATTTTTTAAAATTTTTCATAGAGGGCTGGAGAAATGGCTCAGTGGTTAGTAGCACTTACTGTTCTTGCAGAGAAGCTGAGTTCAGTTCCCAGCGCCCAATCAGTGGCTCACAATCCCTTATAACTCTAGCTCCAGGGACATCGGACTCCTCTAGCATAGACTCTGTGGGCACTAGCATTCAAGTGCACAAAACACCCTCTTCACGTACATAATTAAAATGAATCATTACAAATGTCATAGAAATACGTATTGTGTATTTAGCATATTTACCCCACACCATCCCTTTCTGACTTCCCTCCACTCTGGTTAGTCCTTTTTGTTCCCCAAAACAGCTCCATTTCTATTTCCATGTTGCATGTACATTCACTTTATGCATCTATCCAAAATATAGGGGCCTCAAATGAGAGTGAGCATGACCATTGCATAAGGCTTGGTTAATTCTTTTGATATGATTATCACCAGATGCACCTATTTTTCCTGTAAATGACACGTATGTGTTCTTCTTTATGAAAAAAAAAATTTTTTGCCGTGTATTTGTACAACACTTTCTTTATCCACTCCCCTGTTGCTGGACACCAGGTTGATTTCACAGCTTGGCTATTGTGACTAGAGCAGCAGTGAACATGGATGTGCAAGTGTCCCTGAGTTATCTCGACCTGGAGACCTCGGGGGAAGCACCGAAGAGTGGTATAGCTGGGTCACATGGCAGATCTATTTTCAGACTGGTAATGTATTATTTTTAAATTACTATGCAAAATAACAGGTTCCTTGATGGCGTTTTACACAAACTTAATTTCACTTGATCCCACAGGAGGCCCTCCCGTTCCTTTCCCCCATCTTCCTGGCCTCCATCTCTGCCTCTGCTTCCCTTCCCACCTTCAAGTCACATGTGCTCTATTACCGTCCCCTCCCCTCCCTCTTCCTCAAAGCCTTTTTCCCCTCTTAGCCAAGAGTCCCAAGGCTTTATCCTCATGTGCTCAGGGCTCAGTTTTGGAGGCCCTCCATCCATCAGGACGGATGCTCTGATGGCAGGACTATGTCAAGGTCGGGCACAGATCCTGCGGTGCCCACCTTTCTCTCAGGGCGCCACGGCCAGCAAACCTCCCCACTTTCATCTGCTGTACTCTTAGCAGTGCACAGAATTAACAGCTCAAACATCATGCGACCTGAAAAGAAGGCAGAGTCCATTCAGAAGGAAAAAGGGGAGGGGGTGGTAGGGGTGCTTCACCGGGTTCTGTTCAGGCAGGGATGTTCAGCAGCTTAGATGCTCTGCTCTGGGGTAAAGCACAGAGGTCACATCGTGAAGGAAAAGCTCTGCATATGTATGATGGGAAGACACCTTTGAGCTGGTATTTATGGAAAAGGAATTTAAGAAGATACTCAGGAAAAATCTTTAGGAGATGTCTGAGTGTCTTTTGTCATGAACTATCTGGCAACCGAACTGACGGCAGTGGGCATTCCCCGTCAGAGATGAACCTCTTGGGTGTGATGGCATTCTGTTAGCTTCCTTGGACAACATCTGACAGTTTTGCAACATTAAAATATGCTCATTTGCATCTTCCTCGGGAACATCTGGAGAGGAGAAAAAAAGTGGCTTTGGAAAGCTGTTCAGCTCGCAGAAAACTGAGGCTGAGCAAACATTTCGGCTTCCCCTCGCTGGCCATCACTCACACCCAATGTATTTATCCTTTCTCTCCGACAAGAGAACAACATTTGGAATAGCTCAAGCTGCCGAGTTAATTATCCAGACGCCATGGGGACATTTTAAGCTGCCGGCCAACCCACCTCGCATGATTTGGAACCAACACAACCACCAGGCTGAATAAGGCTCGCTGTGCAGCCTGTCCAGTGTGGGTGGGGGGTGGGAAGGGCACAGATTTGCTGCCCTTCAAATTTCCTATCTCTGTTTAGAACATCAGTGCCAAGGGCAGAAACATGCCAGGATTTCAATGAGTCAGCCAGTGGTTTTGACTCTATTTCATATATATATATATATATATATATATATATATATATATATATTGATCATATTGGACAATAATGTGGAAATAATTAAT